AAGGGGCGGTGTGTGTGGGGGGCATCTGTTGGTTTCCTCCCATACCCACCCCAACCAGGTCAAGTCTGAAAGCTGGGTATGTGCCTGACTGGGAATCAAACCCATGACCTTTCAGTGTATGAGATAATGCTCCAACCAGCTGAGCCACATTGGCCAGGGTAATATTTTAAGGTAAAATTTCACATAAAGTGAAATGCACACATCACAAGTACATGATTTGGTTAATTTTGAGAAATGCATATACCTGTGCAATACCAAATTCTATTATGATATAGAACTTTAATTTCACCGTTGAAAGTAAACTCATGTTCTTTGTATGCAATCAGTCCCCATCCTTAGGCCCAAAGGAAACTACTGTAATACTCTTTTTAAACTATACATAAGTTGCATCTGTTTTAGACTTCATATAATTGTAATTACACAATGTCATATTTTGAGTAAGTTTACTTTCACTCAGAAAAATGTTTCTGAGATTCATCCACCTTGTGTTAATCTGCAATAGATTCCTATCTATTCTAGAGTAGAATTCTATTTTATGGATATACCAACATTTGTTTATCCATTCTCTTGTTGATGGATACAGTGTTTGGCTATGAATATCATTGCATAAGTCTTATTGTATATCCCATTTAAAGTTTTTTGTTATGCACGGTTTCATGGAGCAAAAATGTTTACAATTGTTTTAACTACTGTGTCATATAAGGTTTGCTTAATCTGACATATCCATATTCATGTTCTAAAGGCCATACCTTAGCTGGTGCTTTCCTACCAATGTATTGGACTTGTGGGATTTTATTTATATATTTGCTTTTCTTTACTTTTCTTAGCAATTAAAATTTTTTTCCTTTTATTTCTTTTCTTTTAATGTATGTTTATTGTTGTTGTTGTAATTTTTATTAATTTATTTTTGTTACAGATATTTCTCCTTTTTCCCCACTAGACACCCTCCTCCCGATCCGGCCTCCTCCCTCTCCCAGCATTGTTGTCTATGTCCATTGGTTATGTATACGTGCATATAAGTCCTTTGGTTTATCTCATCCCTTTATTCCGCCCCCCTCCTCTGAGGTTGGTCAGTCTGAACCATACTCCTTTCTATGTCTCTGGGTCTATTTTGTTCATCAACTTATTTTAATTCATTATATTCACAGATAAGTGAGATCATGTGGTATTTGTCTTTCTTCGATTGGCTTATTTTGCTTAGCATAATACTCTCCAGGTCCTTCCATGACATCTCAAAGGATAAGAAATCTTTCTTTCTTATAGCTGCGTGATGTTCCATTGTGTATATGTACTACATCATTTTTATCCACTCATCTATTGATGGACGCTTGGGCTGTTTCCAGATCTTAGCAATTGTAAATAGTGCTGCTATGAGCATAAGGGTACATATATTCTTTCTGACTGGTGTTTCAGGCTTCTTAGGATATATTGCTGGATCAAATGGCAGTTCAATTTTTAATTTTTTGAGGAAACACCATATTGTTTTCCATAGGGGCTGTACCAGTCTGCATTCTCACCAACAGTGTGCTAGAGTCCCCTTTTCTCCACACCCTTGCCAGCACTTGCTGTTTGATGATTTGTTGATGGCGGCCATTCTGACAGGTGTGAGGTGATACCTCGTAGTTGTTTTAGTTTGCATCTCTCTGATGATTAGTGATGATGAGCATTTTTCATGTCTCTTGGACATTTGTATGTCCTATTGGGAGAGGTGTCTATTTTGGTCCTCTGTCCATTTTTTAATTGGGTTCTTTGTCTTCCTTTTGTTGAGTTGTATGAGTACTCTATATATTTTGGAAATTAACCCCTTATCTAATGTATCACTGGAAATTATGCTCTCCCATATAGTGGGTTCCCTTTCCATTTTGATGCTTGTTTTTGTTGTTGTTGTTGTTGTTGTTGTTGCTGCTGCTGCTGCTGTGCAGAAGCTTTTTAGTTTGATGTAGTCCCATTTATTAATTTTTTCCTTTGTTTCTCTTGTCTCAGGTATTGTATCAGTGAAAATTCTGATGCGTGTGATGTCTGAAATTTTGTTGCCTACATTTTTAGTATTTTTATGTACTAAATATGTTTTTTATTGATTTTTTAGAGAGAGAGAGAGAAACATTGATGTGAAAGAGAAACATTGATTGGCTGCCTCCTGCATGCCCCCTACTGGGAAATCAAGCCCCCAACTGGGGCAAGTGCCCTGACCCAGAATTGAACTGGGACCTCTCAGTCTATGGAAGGATGCTTATTCCACTGAGCTATACCATCTAGCCTTCTTTTATTTCTTAATTTCACAGTTATTTATGAGACACTATGTTAGTCACCCCACCAGGTCTAGGTGATGTGCCAAATTATACACAGTTTCTTATCTCAGAGATGACCTAGTTTATTGATGGAGGACACATGAACATTACACACACACACGGGCGTGCGCACACGAGCATTCAGTGCAGCGAGAACATTGAGTAGGGTTCTTTGGAATACAGAGGAGAAGGGAGTACAGTAAGGTGTATAGTGACAAGGTACAGGGGAGCTACTGGGAGAAGTTGAATTTTCAGTAGATTTTTGAATTTAGCACTTAAAAATATGTTTTGTATGGCATCTTTATTTAATTCATGAGTAAGCTGATACCTAGAGAGGTTCACTTATTTGTTCAAGAGAGAGTTAGATGAGAATTAGAAATTTCGTCTTCTCAGTTTCAATACAGTGTTTTCCCTTCTACAATGTGATATTTCATACATTTGCATAACAACTGATTTACGGCCTACCATGTACTAGGCCTTGGGTCATGTTTTATGTTTTAGGAATTAAAAATGAACAAGATAAAATTCCTGCCACCAGGAAGTTTCAGTCAATCAGTTAGTGGTGCTAACTACCAACACACACACACACACCCACCCACCATATCAGTGATAGGAGCAAAATCCCCTGTGAACACAGAAAACATGGCAACTAAAGCTCTAGGAAGCTAACATAATTTTATGCAGGGTTTAAGTGTTTTACTCTGAGTATTACCTTGAGGGTAATCAAAAGGTTTCTACCTGCCCTCCCCTCAGGAACATGTAAATCAAACGTCTCAAGGAAAGGTCACAAAAATCTCAGATTCCCATTCTACTTCATGGCGATGCCCGAAAGCTCTTTCTTGTAATACACTTTGGGGTCCTTGAAGACAGACATTTTGCATCCCTGAAGTCTAGTCGTGTTCTTGTACGACACAGTGGGTGCTTAATAAAAATCTGAGTTATCAATGGAAGTATGAAAATATTAAGTGTGGCAATGAGGCTTCAGGCGAGCTCTCACAGAGCCAGTGAGTGGGAGTGCTGAGATTTGCAGTCTGTTTTCCCAGGGACTTGTCATCTCAACAAAGCCTGGGAAAAGCAAAATGTTGGGGTTCATGCTGTGACTTTTCTCCCTATAATCCTGTCCCTGTGGCCTCAAAGCTTGTCTGAAGCCTTGGACTTCACTCATTGAGAAAAAACACAAAAGCAACCTTATTTTTCCTGACAGATACTCAGTGTCAACTTCCCATTTTCTCATTTTACTTCTCTACTTTAGAATACATCCAGTTGCTCCTAGGGCTGGTCAGCTTCCTACTTCCTTTATTTTTAAACAAATTCTTGCCCTGGCTGGTTTGGGTCAGCGGTTAGAGCGTCGGCCTGCAGTCCGGAGAGACCCGGGTTCGGTTCCCGCTAAGGGCATGTACCTCGGTTGCAGTTTGTCCCCGGCCCTGGTTGGTCGTGCGGGTGGCGGCCACTCGATGTGTCCGATGTTTCTCTCTCTCTCTCTCTGTTCCTCTCTCTCCCTCCCACTCTACCTGAACAAAAAATGGAAAAATGTCCTCGGATGAGGATAAAAATAAATGAATAAAAAATAAAACAAATTATTGTTCTTCTCTATATTCCCTTTGATAGCACAGCCCCCATCTCATTCCAACAGCCTTCGAAAGCTTTCTATGACTTTAACAGTGAAAACATTGGGAGAAATTATTCCTCTTATTTCTTTTTTCCCATTAAAGAAGCATGATTTATTTTAATAGGGTACATTTTAAATCATTTTTCACTAAATTTATCACAGTGACATTGGTTAATAAAATTATATAGGTTTCACGTGTGTAATTGTGTAATACATCATCTGGGTGTTGCATTGTGTGTTACCACCCAGAGTCAAGTCTCCTGTCTCCATATATTTGACTTCCTTTACCCTTTACTGCACCCCCCACCTCCTTTCTCTCTGGTAACCACCATACTGTTGTCTGTGTCTGAGTTTTTGTTTATTTTTTTTGTTTATGCATTTGTTGCTTTCAGTTTTATATCTCACATATGAGTCAAATCATATGGTTCTTGACTTTTTTCTATCTGACTTACTGTGCTTAGAATGATATTTTCAAGATCCATCCACGCTTTTGCAAGTGTTAGTATAACAGGCTATATTTCAAATGTGTCATATCACAAACACCAGTAGGGATATATTTGTGTTAAAATTTTGATTTATTATCAAAGAAGAGTTGTTTTTAATATCTTTGGCATATATGTACCCAAAAGATTTTCCCCAAACAAATGATCTTATGTCTTATTGGTGTTTATTTCTGCCAGCCTTTTTTTTATTATGTAGCCTATGCTATCTTGAGAATATTTAGTTTCTATAAGTTCTGTTTTTTCCATAATTCACATGACAAGGTCATCTGTTTCAGCACCTAGGTCGGATGTCCCCTTAGGAAGGTGTCAGTGGTTTCTTCACAAGAATCACAGCTACATCTTTTGGTATCAATTGCAATCATGTGTTTGCTTCTATTTTGGATGGTCTGTCTTATCTCCTGGATATCAAAAGCATCCTTCAGGGCAGGCATGCTATCTGTTTTATATCTGACACCCTTATTTAAATGTAAAATCCTAATTACAAGTGGCAGGTACGTAGATTAAAATGACTGCCAGGACGTTCCTTTTGGACATGTGAGGTCCTAAAATCTTACTGGAATTTTAGTGAGTTGATTTTGTTTTAATATTTTTCCTTCCTAGGAAAAAGAAGACCACTTTGAATCTGTTCAACTGAAATCCTCAAGATCTCCGAATATATGAAAAGACTGTGCTATAGCTTTCAGACTCATGAACAAGGAAACCTGCTCTCTAGTTTTACAGGACCGTAGATTAGAGTCTGTCCTCGTACCCGGCACATTGGGGATGTTATGGAGAAGGGCCATGCCGCTGAAAAGGGAAGGAGGTTGAAACGTTTGATTGCCTTATCACATGGTCAAGTATCTTGCCAAAAATAGGAAAGCAAATGGTTTGGGTCTCCACTGAAGATGAAGCTCAACTCAGGAAGAGATTTAGCTGTATATACACAAGGTGAAGCCCACCAGTGCACTGTTGCTGCATGCCATGTAATTAATGGATAACTTTTATTGTTTATAACTTCACATTAAAAAGAGTGCTTTGGAAGGCAGATGTCAGCATATGCATTGTGATCCCATTTTTGTCATTTCTTTGTTTATATTTTGGGGAAGATTTGAAAACATTTTAAAGTTATACTTCTTTTTTTCCCATTATTTATTTACCTTAAAACATCTCTTTTTATTTAAAATGGTGAACAAAGAAAGACAATAAACTTTTTTTCCCCCCCCATAGGGTATCTTTATTGATTTCAGAAGCCTAAGTAAGCACTAATCTTTTTGGAGGAGTCAGCATATGCTTGGGTCATCTAAACTTATAATTGACTTATGAGTTCCATTCTTGGTGGAACTGGTAAGAAAAGCTTGACTAGAACTGTTGAAGAAATCTTTAAAAAAAAAAAAAAAGTAAGGAGAAACCTTGACTTTTCAGTAACACAAATAAATGACACTGTCACAGAAGTCAAATGGCTTACGACAGTTTATGTAATGATTTGAAATGAGTGTGAAAGCTTGTTTATCAAATCACCTTGCAAAATCATGAAGACAAAAGTGAGATGACTTGTGTGCAATTATGGATAACTGTATAAAGGTATTGGAGTAATTCTGTGGTCTCCATAAGTGGGATATTTGCTGTAAGTCAGGCATGAAAGGTTACATGATTATCATTCTGCTACAAGACTTAGAGGATCATGACTTCTATGGACGTTTTTCTTATTAAGCCAATAAAGCAGGAATTCAGTTTTGAAAAATTGCATATAATTGTATTCATAAGAAGAATGTGGTTATGAAATAAGTGTTGTTCTTATTAAAAAATGATCTAGATAATTTTGATATTTCCTATAACAGATTACTAGTATTAGCAGAACTGAAATATTATTTATTAAAGAAGTTTGAATGAGGTTGGATTTGACCAATTTTGAGCAAACCCTAATTATTTTAGAACTGATAAAGAGGGGAGTTTCCTGGCCATTGATGATCTAAGGTGCTCTGGTTTGTTTCCAATTAACAGTAATCATTACAGATCTTAATCCACATTTTAAAAAAGACTGGTGGTTGGCTGAGGGAAGCAGGGTACATGGGCAGGGTTTGTTAAATGTTTTGCCCCACATCTTTCAATGAGGTATGATTTGTAACTTTTGATTTATCGGGTTATGTCTTTATTTTTGTGGAAACTGGGAAACAAATAATTATGTTTGTCTGACTGGTGGGTAAAACACTGGATGATGCTATTGTTGAATGAATGTGTGTTTTTGTGTATATCTCTGCTATTGGATTTGTGAATATATGGCCATTATTTTATTGTTGGTGTGAGATTCAGGAAGGGCATCAATTAGTATAAACTTTTTCATGTTTAATTTTAAAAATATTATAAAGAAGAAATTATTGGCATTGTTCATTTTAATCTTGCTAATAGTGCTAATGAGCCTTTCTCCATTTTTGGTCAAAATTTAAACAGAAGAATGAAAATGCATTTGAAATGCACCCTTTTAGAAGAAACCTGGCAAGGTTATACAGCTGGACAGAGTCAGGAAGTTCCTGCACAGTTGCCTGTCACTCTCCTTTGTCTTCGGCTGTGCTCAACATGCATGTTCCAAGCCATAGAGATCATTGGGATTTGCTCCCAGGTAGCTTCTTTCTCCTCCTGTCACTGGACTAAAATCTCTGACATGTCAAAGATGCCTTAAGTTTTAATGAACTCTCTAAAATGTAGTTGGTATTGAAGAATTTATTTCTAATTTTAGATATTAGATAGATTTTTGTCAGCTCAATCCTGTCTTTGGAATGGAGCTGCCCTTTTTCCTGTGGATCCCAGTGGTTGTCATTTTATTCCAAGCACTAAAGTATGACAGAAAGAATAGTATGAGGGAAATATTCCAACCAGTCCCGGCTATAAAATTCACTTTAGTTTTAGGTCTTGCCTTTGCAAAGCTCAGTAGAATGCTGACAGGCTTTTAAAAATTAATCATGTTTCTATGACTTCTAATTGACATTTGTTGTTCCTTCCCCTACCCCCCCCCCCAAGTGGTGGGAGAAGTTATTCATTATTTTTCTAAACGGCGCAGTTTTGAAGCCTTAAGTACTTCATTAAGTCAACTGCCACCTATAATATCTCTTAGCACTCTGTCAAAATCTATTTAAATCAGTTTTTCACTGGATGAGACCATGTCTTCTATGGATACATTATATCATGCCATTTAACAATGTTAAGCAATTTGATATGTGTTCACTTGTTTTAAAAGACTGACTCTTATTCTTGTTGACTTTTCCCCCTTTTGGTTACTAGCAATCAAGTCCTTTCTAGGATTAAAAAATGTTTCATAGTATTTTTGTGTAGACTTTTGTCATTATTTTCTTCCCAAGGAAAATGGTGGTTTAAATGGTTCTGTGGAAGAATTGCTTGGGTCCAGTCATTTACCATCTAGGATCTCCAGGTTTCCAGGTGGTGGCTCATTTAACTACGGTTTTCAGGATTGATACGACCAATTGTCCATTGACCTATATCAATAGAGCTACTTTTTGTGGTTCACAGTCATTCCTTTTTTTTTTATCCTCACCCAAGAATATTTTTCCATGTATCTTCAGATAGAGTGGGAGGGAAGGAGGAGGGAGGGAGGAGGGAGGGAGGAGGGAGGGAGTGGGGGGGGAGAGAGAGAGAGAGATCAATATGAGACAGACACATTGACTGGTTGCCTCCCACATGACCCCAACCAGAACTGGGGATGAACTGCAACTGAGGTATGGCCCTTGACTGGAATCGAACCAGCAACTCATTGGTCAGTGGGCTGACATTCTAACTGCTGAGGCAAACAGGCCAGGGCCACAGTCATTCTTGCTATTAATAGCAAGATAATGTTCAGATCAGTTCTCTCTTCTTCATGAAAGTAAATTTCCCAAGAGTTAGGGTGGGAAGATGACTTCATTGACAAGTTTAAAGTCAGTGTGTTGCTCACATTTATCTTTTTACATAAAAGATATGTAGATCTTCAGAAGACTTAAAATACCCTCATATCTATTTTATAGTAGCCACAAATATTTTCTCAGGTTTATAGGCCAAAATTATAAATTAGGGTTGTACAACCCTAAAGAAAAAGTACCAAGGGAAGTAAGCTTAAATTTAGAAGCCTCTACAGCCCTGGCCAGTTTGGCTCAGTGGTTAGAGCGTTGGCCTGCGGTCCAGAGAGACCCGGGTTCGGTTCCCGCTAAGGGCATGTACCTTGGTTGCAGTTTGTCCCTGCCCCAGTTGGGGTTGTGCAGAAGGCAGCCACTTGATGTGTCCCTTTCACATCAACGTTTTTCCCTTTCTCTCTTCCTCTCCCTCCCTCCCACTCTATTTGAACAAAAAATGAAAAAATGTTCTCGGGTGAGGATAAAAAAAAATGCCTCTACACCTGACTCACTCCTTGGATATTAAAATGGAGTTCACAGTAACTGGCCAGAGACTATACTCTGCTGGGTTTCATGTCTCTTAGTTTAACATTTTCAGATGTGTTCATTTTAGGATAATAAAGGAAATAAAAATTTGTTATGGGGTTGAATATTGGAAGTCAATTGATACTATTACTGTAGTTGTATAGATCAGAAGCAGCAAACTTTTTCTGTTAAGGGTCAGCTAAGTAATATTTCCAGCTTTACGGGGCTCTACTGAACTCCTCACTGCCACTGTAGCATGAAAGCAGCCACAGACAACATGTAAACAAAGGGGTGTGGCCACATTCCAATAAAGCTATTTATGTACACTGAAATCTGAGTTTCATTTAAGTGTCACTTGTCATGAAATATCATTCTTCTTTTATTTTTTTAGAATAGTTCATCGATTTTTTTAGAGAGAAGAAGGGAGAAGAGAGAAATATTGATGTGAGAGCACAACATTCTCCCACTCCCGCCACTGCCACCCCCACCAGCGTGTGGAGCTGCAGCCTGGGCGTGTGCCCCGACCGGGAACCGAACTAGCAACCGCTCAGTGCATGGGATGACGCCCTACCAACTGAGCCACACCGACCAAGACAATATTATTCCTCTTTTGATTTTTTTCCCCAACTATTTAAAAATGGAGACACATTCTTAGCTCAGGATTTGACCTGCGAGCACTGCAGCCCACAAGCAAAATGTTCAGAAGAATTTGAGTCTTTGCCCTTTAGGAGCTTACTACCTTAAAAGTTTCTCAAATCTTTAGAAATGTTCGAGAAGAAAATAACCTATCACCCTCCCTTGATGGTTTAATCAATAGACAAAACAAGATACCCAGATTCTGAGTTCCTTTTACAGTTCTTGGACTTAGTTATGGTTATTGGTCAGCAACTGATAAAAACCAAAGCAAGGGAACTGGTTCAGAGTAAACAGCAAGATTAATTTAAAAGCCTTTTCTCATTGAGGTTTATATAACATGCATTGGTAAGATAACTGGATTTGTAGATAATATTCAATTTTGTATACAGAGCAATTTATTTTATTTATTTTCAAATACTTTTTTTTTCCTTTTTTGATTTTAGAAATAGAGGAAAGGCAAGAGAGAGAGAGAGAGACATCAGTGCCAGAGAACACTGATTGGCCACCTCCTGCATTCCCCTCACTGGAAATTGGGCCCACAACCTGGGCATGTGCCCCGACGAGGAATTGAACTGGCAACCTCTTGGTGCATGGGTCAACAATCAACCAGCAAGCCACACTGGCTGGGCAATATACAGGGCAATTGAAAGTAACCATATGGATGTAGGGGATATTGATACATAAAGTAGCTTCATTGTAGGTTCTTGAGCCTGAGCACTGCAGAGGGTCTTTGTATGTGGTTAGGCAGGGCACACCTCAACCCACACACATTTACCAAGCCTTGTTGAAGACTTACTGAGCTTCAAAAGACATGTAGGATTTCTTTAATGATTGGTGGGTCAAGACAGAGATCTCCAATTTCCTTGAACAAAATGTCCCAGTAAGGCTTTTAATTTGTTATATGTTGTTTTTTATTTTTTCTCCTCATCTTATTAATAGCTCTTGGAAGAAGAGCTTTGTCTAAAATAGCTTGTGGATATTGGTAAATTTGTTTTGGAGTAGGGCAAGATTTCCTTTTTCTCAGATGGTTTCTGGTTACACAAACCAGTTAAACCAGGGGGAATTATGTAAATCTACATTTTCTGAACAGAAGTGATAATTGCCTATTCATACATTTGGGCCTGTTTAGTGGAGCTGTGGTGGTGGTAATCCTCACAGGTGTTCCATCGTCCTGGCTTCCCTTTCTCGGGCTGCTCCGTGCCTATGGCCTGTGCTGGTGGTTCAGAGGCTCAAAGCTTTCATGGTGGATAAGGAGGAAAGGGGGGCTTCCTACGAGAAAGTGTAGAGGTGAAGACAGAAAAGGGACACTGTCCAAATCACCTTGTTCTTAGCTACTCTCTTAATCTGTCCTCTGTGTGGTCTGCAAACCATCTTGCCTAACATCTTGAATATGGGACCTTTATATTTTACCATGATAAACCTGAGCAGGCAAGAGACTCTGTAGCTACTTAAACCAGAAAGGACACAGAGCATTTCAGAAACTGTAATCATTTGGAAAACCAATGATAGTCTATCATATCATTAGGTTCTACGTTTTTTAATGAGTGGTATATACCCTTCTGCTTGAGTGCCTTAAATTCAGAAAGTTTTTGCAAAGATGGATCAGCTCAACTGGGTTTATATTCTGGAAGGATGAACTGTTACTGGAATGAGAAAAAAATCAATCCCAAATCTATTTGTTTGAAATGGCTTATGTAAAAAAGATTTTATAGCAGCTATTTTCCATACATACACTGAATATTTTTTGAAAAATTATTTTAAGAATCACATGTTAGATGATCCATGTTGAAATGGGAAACATTTGTGGCAGTGAAGGAGAAAATGGTGACAGCTGTTAGTTACTGCATTTTCAGTTTACGGGCAGGGCATAAAATACAGTGACCAGAGATCAAAACCCAGCTATCAAAAAAGTTTTCTCAAGATTCACCCACAGACTAGTTATCTTGTTTAAAAAGATCCATGATCAAGTTGGTTGTTTTAGGCATCAGCTGTGTCTCTGTGTCTGATATTGCCTTCCTCAGACTGTCACATTCCATCAGTGGATTGGCTTTATTTTCTCCCATCAGCCTTGCCACAGCCTGTATCTCAGGCAGGTGCTCATTCTGAGCACATTGATCCAGCACTTCTGCCAGTTTCAGTCACAGATGAAGTTGTTTTTTTTTTTTTATCTAGTGCTGTTGAATCTACTACCCACTCCTGAAAATCCAGGTTCTTATTTGCATATGGGAATTCAGTGCCTGGTGAGCACTGTTGTCTTTGAGCATCTGGTGAGTTTTGGATGGATTAATCGGTTGCTGATTCAAATGCATTCAGAAGGAAAAAGAGAATTTCTAACATCTGACTCCTCACTTCATTTCCTTCAAGGCCAGTCCTGTTGGCTTTTGCATACCTGCTCATTATTTCTTGATATTTCAAAAATAATATGAGCATGTCTTGGTTAACCAGGCCCTGGTTATTGAGTCTGTGGGTCCCTCATATCCTTGATTCCCCTCTTCCTTCCTCTCACTGTCTTCCTCAGTCATAGTTCCCTCATTAGAATACAGTCTTCATGCTTCTTAAAGGCAGAAACTACATCTTATTTATCTTTCTCTTCTTCATGGGCTGAAGAGTGGGCCTCCCCAAAAGATATGTCAACATCCTATCCCTGGGACATGGAAATGTGACTTCATTTAGAGAAAGGGCCTTTGCGGATGCCATTAGGATGTTGAAATGCTATCATTCTGGATTATCCAGGTGGGCCCTAAATCCAGTGAGAAATACCCTTGTTAGAGAAAAATGAAGGAAAAGACAGACTCAGAAGGCAATGTAAAGGTGGAGGCGATATTGGGGGATGTGGCCACAAACCGAGGAAGGTGGCAACCGCAAGCTAGATGAGGCATGGAATGGATCCAGCCCTAGAGCTTCTGAGGGCCTGGTACCCTGCCAATGCTTTGACAGAGGACTTCTGGCCTCCAGAATTGTGACAGAATGAACGTCTGTTGTTTTAAGTCACTCGGTTTGTGGTAAGTTGTTATTCAGCTACAGGAAGCTAATGCATTCTTTATCCATGGCACCTGGCACAGAACTTGACAGATAGTTAGGTTCTTAGTAAATTTTTCTATATTAAGAAATGATCTGTGGCTAAAAGGCTTACAAGGAGAAATAGGATAGTATTGGTAAGAAGAAGCCAGTTTTAGCTTTTCCATATTTTCCCTGTTTGCTCTTTATTTAGGCTAGTGAAACATTCAATTTTAGTGACAAGCCTGTGTGCCTGAGCATTGTCACCGGTACTTTGGAAAAGCATTGAAAAATAAAATATCCTGCATTTTTATTGCCTTCTTAGCTATGAATGGTGAGAGTGATTTTGCAGTGAAGTGGCAGGATGCTTTCCCAGTGCCCTTCCTACTAGTTAAGGTTGTTTTTGGAAATGAAAGCCATTGAACCTTCTCTGCATTCAGAATACAGGAACCCACTCCTTCTTTCCTCGGAGCCCTACCTGGACA